TATGATTAGTGACGCTCAGCATCTTTTCATATGCTTGTTGGTCATTTGTGCTTCTTCTTTGGAAAGCTGTTTATTCACATCCCTTGCTCAGGCTAATTTTTGTTGAATTACAAAGTTCCTCATATATTCTGGATATTAACCCCTTATCAGATACATGATTTGTAAATCTTTTCACTCATGCCATAGGGTGACTTGTCACTTTGTTGGCTGTTTTGACACTCATTTTAAAACTGCATAGTTTGGCTTGTCTGTTTTATTGTGCTTGTGCCTTGGAGGCCAGACCCGAGAAAGCATTGCCAAATGCAACATCCTGAAGCTTTCTTCCTTTGTTGTCTTTCAGGAGTTTTATAGCTTTAGGTTTCATGTTTAGGTCTTGAATCCGTTCTTAATTTTTGTAGATGGTGTAAGGTAAAGGCCCGTGTTCATTCTTTTGTTTGTGGATATGAAGTTTTTGCTTTTGCTTTTGAGTTGGAGTCTCACTCTGTCGCCCAAGTTGGAGGGCAGTGGCACGCTTACAGCCACAGCAGCTTTTCCTTGCTGGGCTCAGGTGGTCCTTCTGCCTCAGCCTGCCAAGTAGCTGGAACTACAGGTGTGTACCACCACACCCGGCTAATTTTTGGATTTATCGTAGAGACTAGGTCTTGCCAAGTTGCCCAGGCTGGTCTCGAACCCATGGGCTCAGGCAATCCTCTCACCTCAGCCTCCCAAAGTGCTGGGATGATAGGTATGAGCCACCACCCCCGGCAGATATCCAGTTTTACCAACAGCATTTTTAATACTTTTCTTTGGCACTCATATTTCATTGGCTCACCATTCAACACATTTATATAACGACACCCGTTCTGTTGGCACGAACAGGCTGGAGAAGGCACAGAACAGAGTGGACTCAGGTGAGCATCGTTTCTCAGAGTGGAGCTGAGCCACTCAGGGGTCCCTCTGTCGTCAAAAAGTCCCCATGGAGTGAGTGGCTGGACTAACCATCCCTTTTATTTTCTGTATTCTGATGCCTTCACATCTGGGGTCTTGCTACTCCTGGGGAGAACACCTCTCGCAGGGCTAGCCAATTTCTGGAGCTAGTGAGGGACTCACCTGAGACATGCCTTCCCTGGGCAAATCAACCAGTGCAGAGCCACACTCCACCACCTCCATCAAGTTCTCTTACTCAGGCCCACGATCCCCTGCCCGGACCACTGGGGCCAGGCACCACCGGACAGAGGCACCCCTGGGCCCCACAGCCTGCTGAACCTGTTCGACCTAGCTGGTCCTCTCAGCCTGCGTGCTCTGCCTCGCCCGTTCCTTCCTGTGAAAAGCACAATCAAGGCTCTTGCCCGGGTTATCCCTTGCCCCTCTCCGTCCTGTCTGACCCTGGTGCTTCCTGTGATGGGCACGCCTTTGCCTCCTGGGACCTGCGAATGTAACAAACAGTCTGTTCAAAGGCAACTGTCTCCAGATCTGTTGGTCCTGCCATACCTCCATAGTAATAAAACCTTTGTTTTAAAAGTGTGTCATGCATACCGGTCTGTGCTTCGGAGGAGAGGAGTGGCTATTTGAATGACTCCGACGTGTAGAGAGCAGGCAAGAGTGCGTCTGCTGTAGCCTCCTTGGGGCCACTTGAAGACTGAGGTCACATCTGAGGCACTTGTCCCATGCACGGCCCATCCTGAGGATCCAAGTGTTGGCTATGGGCACAATTGGGTACTGGGGACACAGCCGTGAATGATTCCTATTCTCACATCATTTTTTTTTTTTGAGTCGGAGTCTCACTCTGTCACCCAGACTGGAGTGCAGCGGCCGCTCCCAGCCACCGCAGCCTCAACCTGCCAGGTTCCGGCGATCCTTCTGCCTCAGCCTTCCAAGTAGTGGGAACTACAGGCACGTGCTACCACGCCCGGCTGATTTTTTGATTTATTGTGGAGATGAGGTCTTGCCAAGTTGCCCAGGTGGGTCTCGAACCCGCAGGCTCAGGCAATGCACTCACCTCAGCCTCCCAAGGCGTGGGACTACAGGCTGAGCCACCGAGCCCGGCTCTCATATCATTTTCAGACTACCAGACCATCTGTCAGGGATTTTAATTTAGCTTAAAGGGGAGGAAGAGGCTTCTGGGGTCTGAAAGAGAAGTACAAGTTAGACAGGTGGAAAGAGGGTTGGACAGAAAGAGGTTTCCAGGCGTGTCAACAGTATGTGCCAAGGCCTACAGGCAAGTCAGCCGCAGTTTGCCTGTGCTTAGCACAGTGCCTGGGGTGTAAGATTTTCTTTTCTTTCTCTCTCTCTCTTCTTCTTTTTCTCGAGTTGGAGTCTCACTGTCACCCAGGCTGGAGTGCAGTGGAACAATCATGCTCACTGCAGCCTTGACCTCCTGGCCTCAGGCATTCCTTCTGCCTAGACTTCCAAGTAACTGGAACCACAGGGACACCACCACACCCGACTAATTTTTTGATTTATTGTAGACGAGGTCTTGTCAAGTTGCCCAGGCTGGTCTTGAACCCCTTGATTCAGGCAATCCTCTCATCTCCACCTCCCAAGGTGCTGGGATTACAGATGTGAGCTACTGCTCCTGGTTATCTTTTTTCTTTAAGAGATAGGGTCATGCTACATTACTACCCAGGATCATCCTGAATTCCTGGGCTCAAGCAATCCTCCTGCCTCTATCTCCCAAAGTGCTGGGACTACAGGTGTGAGCCACCACACCCAGCCCTGTTTTGTTTTTGAGATAAGGTCTCACTCTGTTGCCCAGGCTGGAGTGCAGTGACACAATCACAGCTCACCCCAGCCTCGACTTCCTGGGCTCAGATGATCTTCCGCCTTAGCCTTTTGAGTAGCTGGGACTACAGACACGCATCGCCCTGCCTGGCTAATTTTTAAAAATTTTTTTGTAGAGATGAGGTCTTGCTATGTTGCCCAGGCCGGTCTCGAACTCCTGGGCTCAAGCAATTCTGCTGCCTTGGCCTCCCCAAATGCTGGGATTATAGGTGTGAGCCACCACACCTCGTCCTGTTTTGTTTTTAACTTGGTTTAATTTAATGCAGTTAATTTAAACTTCAAATTTAAACAATTTAATTTAGGCAGGAATGGGTTCAGAAACAGGCAGGGGACTGCTAAAGACCAGCTCTGACTGCGCTGACATCTTGATATGAGTAGACCCCTCCCAGTTCACTGGGAGAAGCATCCAATGGAGTGTCATTTCCAATAGCAGAGCATCAACTGTGCATTTAGAAAGTGCAAGTACCAGCCGGGTTTGGTGGCTCAGCCTGTAATCCCGTGCTTTGGGAGGCTGAGGTGAGTGGATTGCCTGGGCAACTTTGTGAGACCTCATCTCTACAATAAATAAATAAAAATTAGCCAGGTGTGGTAGTGCGCGCCTGTAGTTCCAGCTACTTGGAAGGTTGAGGCGGAAGGATCGCCAGAGCCCAGCAGGTCGGGGCTGTGGTGGCTGGGAGCGGCCACTGCACTCCAGTCTGGGTGACAGAGTGAGACTCCAACTCAAAAAAAAAAAATTGAAAATATTCTGTATGATCCACTTCTGGGTATACAGCCAAAGGAGCCATAATTAATATCTGGAAGAGATAAGTGCACCCCTATATTCAATGCAGCACTATTCATAAATGCCAACATGTAGAAACAACTTAGGTGCCCACTGATGAATGAATGAATAAAGAAACTGCAGCAGCCAGGCTCGGTGGCTCAGCCTGTAATCTCGCGCTTTGGGAGGCCGAGGTGAGTGGATTGCCTGAGCCCACAGGTTCGAGACCCGCCTGGGCAACTTGGCGAGACCTCATCCCCACAATAAAAATCAAAAATTAGCCGGGTGTGGTAGTGCACACCTGTAGTTCCAGCTACTTGGAAGGCTGAGGCGGAAGGATCGCCGGAGCCCAGCAGGTCGAGGCTGCGGTGGCCAGGAATGGCCACTGCACTCCAGTCTGGGCGACAGAGTGAGGCTCCAACACACACACAAAAAAAGAAAGTGAAAGTACCTTCTGCATGCCTGGAATAGTGCCAGTCACCGGGTGATGTTAGTGACTAGGACACAGATCCAGCCTGTGAACAACTCACAACATGAGGTGGTACATGAACAGCAAACAGAAGACACAGAGATCACAAATGAAACCAACAGGCAAGTCGGGAGAGACGCAACCCGAGGGCGCACAGCTGTCCCAGGACCCAACAGGGAGTTAGATTCTCAGCATCATCCCCATCCAGGTCCGCCGAAGCCAGTGACCTGGGGAAGAGGATTGGTTTTATTTTATTAATGACTTATTTATGATCATTATTTTTTGAGCCAGAGTCTCACTCTACTGCCCAGGCTGGAGTGCAGTGGCACATTCACGGTCACCACAGCTGCAACCTGCTGGGCTCAACCTTCGGCCTCAACCTTCCAAGGAGATGAAACCACAGGCGCGTGCCATCATCCTGGCTAATTTTCTGATTTATTGGAGAGATGAGGACTCGTCATGTTGTCCAGGCTGGTCTCAAGCCCCTGGGCTCAGGCAATCCTCTTGCCTCTACCTTCCAAAGTGCTGGGATTATAGGCATCAACCATTGCGCTTGACCCAGGATTGTTTTTAGATTACAAGGGCTACTACCTTCTGGACCAGTTTGGCTACAGACTGCCTATCATGAGTCAGAAAACCCATTCCGTTTCAGTCAGGATATGGTCACAGAACTTTGGTGTTTGTTTCCTCATCTGCAGAGAGGAACAATATCTCACTTCTCTTTTTCCTGCGCAGAGGCCTAGAAAGTCATGAGAACTCTTTAAAGGCCGAGAGACCTTCCGCAAGCAAGAGGATCCCAGCCATCACCTGTCACCTTTCCGTTTCGTGGGAACTTCAACGCGGTCCCCGTTAAATCCATTTCTTCTTGTACTATTCGTGAAAACCGACAATGCTTTTACGGAATTCAAGGGATTCAGAAAGCACTAAAGTGTTCACTGGAATCCAACCACAAACCCTCGTGCTGAAGAGATGAAAGGACAGCAGAGGCCAACATCAAGCTCCTCACACAGCTTCCATTTAAATTAAACTTCCTTTAATGAGATAAAAAACAAATGGTGCATTGCATAATATCTGTGGTCACAGTATAAAACAATACAATTAGTTCATATAACATTGGATATGGACAAAAATACACAAGACCCTTTCTTTGTCTATGGAAAATTCTGCAGATCCTTAGGTTCCCTACTAAAAAAGAAAGTCAGTCGGCTTTTTCCTTCTAGCGATCTGCACACATATGGATCACTCAGAATTTGGTCAAACAGCGGAGGAGAAAACTTACCCAAATCCCAGTTCCCTTCTTCCTCTGTTGTCATCGGTGAAACTTAAAAAAAAGTTTTCTGAAAGTAGCAAGTTGCGTAGTATTGCTTATTATTCCTGCCAAAAAGGCTCAGTCTTTGGCTCGCAGATGGTCAGTGACAAAATCATGGTTGCAGGCAGTCTGCAAAGCAAGAAGCAAGAGCCACCAGGGCAAGAGACAAAGGTCTGGGCAGGAGGGACGTCCTTTACCAGGATATCAGGGAGCCCCGTGGACAGGAGGGGGGCACACACAAATAAATACATGCCTAAGATTCAACCCAGTCGGTGAGTCAGAGTTCCACCGTCCCATGGAAAATCTAAAAAGTTATTAAAAAGTCAGCTTGCATTTTTCTCTTCTTTTCTTTTTAAAAGTGAAACGTGTATGTAAACATCATAAAGTAAACAATTTAAAGTGATTTCGAGGCTTCTATCTGAACACAGCTTAGGCTCTTGCTGGGGCTATTTTTATGATTAGGAAAAAAAAAACCCAAACTTCTATAAAGTTTCTTTTTATTAAGAAGTGCAATTCCATCCGTGTGAGACGTGGCTGGGTCCCTCTTCCATTCCCACCAGTGCCGCTGGCAAGTCTCTTCCAGAAGGGCACTTGTGGGAGCCCGATTTGGTACAATAAAGGAAAGTATCTCACACTTTAAAAATACACATTCCAGGCAAACTGATGTTCCCAGAAGGAACTAGGTCCTTGGTACAATGCCCTGGGAGTTCTCACCCGCCTTCCTCCCAGCCCCCAGGTGACTTGCAGTTCGACCAGCCCCAGTGGATACAGGGTGGGTGGGTGACGGTCAATGCCTTAACTCCAGCCCTGAGCTGCGATATCGGTCTGAAAGGAAAAGGTACAATGTGCACGCACACATCCCCTTTACCACCTCTGAGCATCTGGTGTGACTCAGTCCATGGTTTCACATACACCTGGGGCCACCTTAGCTATGTCCAAAGCTAAGCACCCTTTCTTCCTCCTGCAGCACACCTGTCCTGGCTCTTCTTTTAATAACCGCACGGGCTCAAAGGGCACTGGCTCTTCCTAGGACGGCACCTGTCTCTACAGAGCTTCTCTTGTACAATCACGCGTGACCCACCTCTGAAATAGCAGTTAGGAAATGACATGTAGAAAAATACCCAAATCTAGTGTCATCAGAGCCTTGTCCTCTTCCTTCTAGTCCTCCGGGTCTGCTGGGGCACACCTGCTGCCCATCTTCCTGCCCCGTGTCTGGGCTGCTTCCACCAGCAAAGAATTTAGAGTTTCTGTCCCATGAGTCGACCCACCAGTGGGAAAAACTCAGTGGGAATCTGCCTCCGGGGACGACTCAGTGATAAAGGTAGAACCGACTGTGGGCAGGAGAGAAAGGGGAGCGGGGGAAGGGAGAGCCGGGAGGAACACGGCTCCCCTGGCCCCCGGTGACAAAGAGCGGCACACAACGGCCATCGTTTTGCATGACTTTATTGCTGAAACAAATGAATCTTTCTCCCCCTTTGGAAGACAGAGCAGTGTTGACCCTTCAGAGCCAGGATAAAAGCACAGAGGACTGCAATTAGGGCATGAGTCGCCAGTGAGCCTCAGAAAACCCCACGGGGATGCTTCCTCAAGGCCCGAGCTGTGCAGGGGGCGAGACACTTCAGGGAGTGAGGCTCCAAGGGGAACACTCTTCAGGTAGCAGCAGAGGGCCGCGGCTCGGAAGACTCCTTCTTGCCCGCTCTCTTACGCCTGATGGGAGCAGTTCGGGCACAGCGGGCGGCTCTCAACGCTACTCAACCGGCCACTCACGTGACGGCAGATTGCCGGGTTTCCTTAGTGTTCCTAATAGGAAAGCAAACACGCCACAAAGTATACCCTTCCTCACTCACCCCCTGCGGTGGATCTTAAAAAGCCTTGAAGGACTGCAAAGGTCATAGAAGATGCATGGTTCTTCTAGGCCATTTCTGATTCCTCGAAGTCAGTCTTGCAAGCAGCAGTTTGCCTTCACGCTAAGGATGTGGCATGTCTGCGGGTGCCCCGGCAAGTGCCCTGGTGACCCGCGCCCTTGCCTCCCGCGGAGGGAATGGAGGTGGCTTCTTCAGTCTGATGCGTACCCAGCACCACCGGCCCTCCTGGCTCCAGTCACATAAATCTAACCTCCCGGGATCCCTCTTCCGCACGGGATCCCTTGAAGCACAGGGACCTCAGGACTATGGGCGTGAGTGTCTGTCCTTCTCCTTGTCCCCAGCCTCTTCTTCCTCGCAGCCTTTCTTACCGCCCTGGACAGAGGTGGCTGTGTATTTTTCTTCATATTCATGCTTAAGGCTAAGGTGGCAAGATAAGGTGCTTGGTGGAGAGCCAAATTTGAGATTCCAGGCCTGCCATTTCAGCACTCTCACATTTAAAAAACAAAAAACACAAAAGAAATGGAAAAGGGGCAGAGAGGGTTAAAAAAAAGAAAGGAAAAAAATGCATTTGGGGCTCACTAAGAATTATCTATTCAAGTTTAGATTCCAAATAGAGTCTAAACCCCTGAAAATAGGGGTGGGGCAGGGCAGTCAACGCCACACATTAGCCTTGGTACCAGGTCTGCGTCGTCTCCGAGTTGGGGGGGAGAGGGAGCTGGCTACCCCGCGGGAGGGCACGGGCGGGCCCACGGTGGAGGACGCAGTACGCCGGCACCCCTTCCTCACCACAAACCCTCGGAACAGAAGCTATCAACACACGCAAGTCAGAGGATCTATAAACCAGTGGGAGCAAAGAAATTAGACGAGGGTTAACCATTAGAAAGCCGCAGCTGGGAAACACACACTCAATTGCTCCAGCGGAAAGTGCCGTGGGAAGAAGAGCCGTGTGCTGGTAGACATGTCCACGCTCAGAACTCGACATGCAGGAAAGACGGAGCGCCGAGTCCCACCTGAGATTAGAGAGGACTGGTCTGGAGTGTCACACACTTCGTCTTACAACGTCACTGTCCTCTTCTCGCCCCAATGGCTGCCAGGAGGTCCCCTGCCACTCCCTTCCCGGGCCGCCTAGTCCATCTCCATCGACATGAGCCGCCGGCGCTCACGCCTGGTCTCCTGAACCTCCTTCTTACAACACCAGTGGGAGCTGCAGTACCCGATGAGGCAGGACAGGAGCCCGATGACAGTGGACAGACCCACGCCGATCAGCAGGGGATACTTGAAGGCATTCAGCACTGGGAAAGAGATCAAGGGCGAGCCAGTGAGCGCCACCGAGGAGGCCGCCAGGGTCTCCCGCCTTGCCCCGCAGACCGGGATCCCCCTGAGAGATGGGGCCTCGTTCGTCCTGGATCCAGCACCCAGCGCGGCACCGGAGACAGGAGCGGCTCGACCCTCTCTGTCAGAAAAAGGAGCAAGTGTCTCCCCGCCCAGCTCTGAGGCGAGCATACAAACCATAAAAAAGATTCCACTTGATGCCTTTGAATGTCAACTTGCTTTTTAGGGTTTTGGCAGGAGATTGATTTTTAAAAGTCAGTATAAGGGCACCACGCATTCGGCAGCAGATGCATCCTTAAAAAAACTGTGCACAAATCAATTCTAGGCATCAAATAACTGAAGTGTACTAAGGGAGCTATTTTAAGTAACACTATAGTAAATTACCTAGCAAAGTGAATAATCACTCCCTTACTTGTTTTGTTAAATCTGGGTTTTCATATGGAGCTACTTCAAGCAAGGAATTTCTAAAATGCAAATATGGTACAGATGACTTCAGTTTCTGAAATGCACACACGCCACTCGGAGCTGACCCATGGAGTCCCACCTTCCCTTGCCCCTAAGTACCAATTCTCCCGGGGTGGATGCTGCTGCCGTGCCAGGCACCTTCCGCTCAATAGGGCTTGATTTTCAAAACGGCCTCATGACACACTATCATCCCATTTTTCAGGAGAGGAAATGGGTCAGAAAGGCTATGTGATCTGGGCACAGGGGCTCAAGTCTGTCATCCCAGCACTTTGGGAGGTGGAGGCGGGAGGACTGCCTGAGCTCAGGGGTTCGAGACCAGCCTGAGCCACATGGCGAGACCTTGTCTCTACAATAGATAAATAAATTAGCCGGGTGCGGTGGCACATGGCCTGTGGTTCCAGCCACTTAGAAGACTGAGGCGGAAGGATCACCTGAGCCCAGTAGGTCGAGGCGGAGGTGTATGTGAGCGTGCCACTGCACTGCAGTCTGAGCAACAGAGTGAGACTCCAACTCAAAAGAGAGAGAGAGAGAGAGAAAGGCTCTGTGATCTGTGGATATATCAGGGGAAACACACTCCAAAGTCGTCTACTAAACCTCAGAGGCACATGGAATTTTATTCTGTCCAAGGAGCTATTTCAATTAACATTTGCTTGCTGAAGTTTTCTGAACCAAGGAACATCTGTCTCCCTCCCCCAACCTCCACTCTTCCCTGCTCTAGGAGGATCAGGGAACAGACCTCTGACTATCTAGTCAGGGTGAGGAGCTTACCCTCCTGTTCTGGGGCTTGGCGAAGTCTCCACTCAGTGCCAGTAAGCCCAGAAGGAATCTCCCTTCTTCAAGAAGCAGCAGGTACCTGAACTGTGGCCTCCTCTGTTGACCTGCACCTTCTCTCTCCGTGCTGTCCTCTGCCTGACCGAATTCATGCCACCGCCGGGACAGTGAAGTGACTTTCTTTCTTTTTTTTTTTTTTTTTTTGAGTCGGCGACTCATTCTGTTTTGCCCAGGCTGGAATGCAGTGGCACGATCACCACGATCATGGCTCATGGCAGCCTCAACCTCCTGGGCTCAGATGATCCTTCCACCTCAGCAGCCTGAGTGGCGGGGACTACAGGCGCATACCACCTCACCTGGCTAATTTTTTGTAGAGACATGGTCTCGCTATGTTGCCCAGGATGATCTCGAACTCCTGGACTCAAGCAATCCTCCTACTTCAGCTTCCCAAAGTACTGGGATTATAGGCGTGAGCCACTGTGACCAGACTAAAGTGGCTTTCTACAGAATTTATGAAAGAGGTGAAGACCCAACAATTTCTCTAGTAAGTCTCGAAAATCATTTCCGAATGATTCCACCAGCACATGCCAGCAAAGCTGGGGAAACAGCAAGGGCGGCTTGTGCTTTCCAGGCCTGGAAAGGAAACAGGACGTGCTGGGGCACATCCCTCAAACCGTGGACACCTGGATTCTGTCAGCCTGGCACAGAGAGAGGACACTCCCCAAACATGAAGGGATCTGCATGACATTCTTACCATCCATCTTCACAGTTATGAAGACGGGCTTGGAGTGGATCTCTGCCTCCTTCTGCCATGAGCCTGTGGGTGACTTCACCCATGGAGTCACAGCACAGTAGTAGTTGCCAAAGTCCTGGTCCTCGGAGCCATGCACTTGCAGCAAGAATTCCAGCACGCTCACGCGCTCCAAGCTGAGGTCGCTCTTCCAGTCCCTGCGGGCCGTGGTCACAATCCCCTTCCGATCCAGGGAAGACAGGAGGACGGGAGCCTTATCCAGGCCGAAGGAGTGCACCGCAAACCAGGACACATCAAAGGCCATGTCATCTACGATTACCAAGCCAAAGCCCTGTGGTCAGTGCAACGGGCACCAGTCATATGTTTATCAGCCATGTATGCAAACCTCACTGGGGCCAGCATAGCACTGCATGCCTTAGGTCTCACTGAATCCTCACGGCAACCCTGGGAGGGCATCTTTCTCCCTCTACGGAGAGACTGCATACCCTGCTCAAGGTCACGCGGCCAGCAGGTAGCAGAGTGTGCAGTTTTGCTCAGGGAGTCTGGCTGCACAGCCCAGCCCTCTTAACCACCGTGCTGCCATTCCCCAGCCTGCCCAGGGAGCCACAGGAAGAAAAGTCAGGGCCAAAACCGTCTCCCTAAGAGAACATGATTGCAAAGCTGGCAGGCATACTCTGGCTCCCAAGGAAAACAGGTCCTTTGACATTTCAGGCTGAAGAACCCAAATCTGGAAGGACACTAAAGCCATACAGAGCAAAGTGTCTATCAAATGAATTGCATGAAATTTAGAGCTATACACAGTTTAGATTTTATGGTGTGCTGTGTTTCTTTTTATTTTATTTTTTCCTTGCAGAAGTGCTTAAGTTCAAAACAAGAGGGGAAAAAATGTCAAGCTGAGAAAATTGAACACAGTTTAACAGTCCCAGAGAGTAATGCTGCTGAATCGTAAAGTACTCTGCAAAATTAAGGCTCTACAAGCCTCAAATAAATTAATACGGGCATAAGAGAAAGAAGACTTTGGCACAAGTGGTAATTCTCCTGGAATGTGAAAACGGAGCACACATCATAAGCCCTTGACCTCTTCTCTGGGCTGGTACCAGCCATCATCAGCTGTGTCGGCTCCGAGATTCCTCCAGCAACAAAGAACCTCAGCTACAACAGTGTTTTGTCTCAAATCCACTTGAGAAGGCTTTTTATACAAATGCTCTACAACATGGTTCTGCTGAACAAAAGGAAACATTTATTCATTTAGTAAAAATACACTAATAACCTCAAAAAGCACATAAGGCAGATAAAATAATTTCTGATGCTTACATATTAAAAAAAGAATGGAAGCCAAACTAAAAGCAGGAATTTCTACAAAATTATCCAAATGATAATTCCTTTTCAGCTCAATGCAAAAACGCATTCTCTTCCTTTTGTCCCCGTTCATATAAAATGTTCTTGTTCTCAGCATTTCCTCAAGAAGACTGGCTCCTGGGGGCCGAGGGAATGCTGTGAACTTCCTCACACCCTCACAGTGCCAGGGCAGAGAGGGCTCCCGGATCATGCTCATGTCTTCCATGTAAACTCCTAATTCAGTGCTGCTGTCACCTGCAGGTGCTTGGTGGTTGCTAAAGGGAAAAGCCACAGTTGTGATCCCATGACCTGTGCCCAGACGCTAGCCCTGACCCCCAACTGCGCCCTACAGTGGGGGAGCCAGGTTAGAGGCCAGAATGCCCGGGCTCGAATCCGAGCATCAGCACTTATGAGCTGTGTGACCTGGGCGAGTCACCTAAGTTCACTGGGACTTAGTTTTCTCCCCTGTAAAATGAAAATGACAGCACCCAGGATTAAACTGATTACATGTGTACACGTGTTTGGAACAGCATCTGAACACAGTAAGTGCTCAATAAAAGCTGATCACCATAAACAACACTCTCTCCACAGTTCAACAGCTGCAAAGACAGGCACCAAATGCTGTTGGGGTCCTGTCCAGATCATCTGGTGCGCTGACCCCCAGCGCTTGTGGGGGCTGGCTGCTAAAACTCTCACATCAGGACCCTTCTCCAGGGGGCTGATGAAAGCCATCTTCTGGAGTCATAAGACACCCTCACTCCTTGGCCATTCAGCCTGTGGGCAACGATGGACTAATGAGGAGACAGAAAATCTCAGGGTGGGCCTACCATGTGGTACCAGTCAAGTGCCAGAGCTCCCAGTGTGGAGCTAAGACTTGTTCTGCTTCACACCTCTGCTTGGCTTCTTCCCTGGCTCTCTTGAGTCCCTCCCTCCCTTGAGGCGTTCTTCTCCCTCAAGCTACCGCTTACCTGCTGTCTCAGTCTCTGCCTGGGGAGAAGAAGCCGACCGGAGGGCCTCCTCAGAAGGGCCACGACTGGCCGCCCCGCCCCCACCTGGGCACAGATCCCTTTGGCCCTCAGCCCGCATACGCCACAGGGCCTTCCCCAGAGAGAAGCCCCTTGCAGCCCATAGGATGTGTGAGGCAAAACCAAATGGCAACTGGTGTTTAATTACTCAGAACCCTCCACCCACACAGTCCAAGAGGGCAAAGTTCTGGAAAACTGTGCTGTGAAAGGCAACAACCACCCACAGCTTTTTCAATTACACTGGAGGAAAAGACTTTCAGATCAAGGGCACAACTGGTGACCCATTCATTGACGGAGAAAGAGCATTTAACGGATTTCTTTTTGTATGGGCCACAAATGAGCTTTAAGGGCCAAAACGGTGTCACATTGCTCTCGGGGGACTCCCTTTCCCTTCCCTCGCGCTCCCTTGTACTTTTACCTTCATTTTCACTTCTGAATCCTACATTGTGTCCTCAGCCTTCCACATCCCAGGAACAGTCCTGCCCTGACCCCTGAGAACAGAGCTAACCAACTCCACTGGCCAAGACGGCTTGCTTTCTCTTCCTTTTCTTAACATCCAACATAAACTCTTCTTCCCCCCTGCCTCGAAAGAGCAACCACGTCCAGCTTCCCTCCAGAGCAATACTGGCATCAACCAACTAGCCCAGGGGTCAGGAGACTACAGCCCGCAGGCCAAGTCACTTGTTTCTGTAAATACAGTTTCATCGACACAGCTATGCCCAATTGTTGACATTATTATCTACACCTGCTCTCGCACTACTGCAAGGCAGAGCTGAGAGGCTGCCTCAGAGAACATCTGGCCCACATTATATTTCCTAGTTGGGTCCCTCACAGAAAATATCTGCTGACCTGAACCTTCAACCAGAAGTCCTGCGGGAGTCCGAAGTCTGCTTGGACGGTGATGGAGTTCAGGCCTCTGCTCCCAGATGCCACCGATGGCTAGTCCCCCACTCAGGGACTCACTCTGCGTTAGTTCCATGCCACCCTCCCTTTGCTGAGAACCTGTCCCTCCATAGAGGATGGAAACGGCCTCTAGTTCCCTCCCCAGGGCCACACTTCCAGCGGTCTCCACCCAGAAACTTGTGAATCCTATACAGTTTGGGCCCTTCTGAGGTGCAAATCTGCCAGCAGTCACGACTCTGCCTGTGATGGGGTAAGGCAGCACAAAGAGTGGCTCACGCCCACACTCCCAGAACTTTGGGAGGACAAGGCTGGAGGATTGCTAGAGCCGAGGAGTTCGAGACCAGTCTGGGTAACAAAATGAGATCTCTTTTCGACAAAAAATAAAAAAATTAGCCAGCCGTGGTGGCACGTGCCTAGATTCCTTTCTGCTGAGGCAGAAAGGTCACCTGAGCCCAGGAGGTCAAGGCTATAGTAAGCAGTGATCGCATGACGGCATTCCAGCCTGTATGTCTCGAGACCCCACCTTAAAAAAAAAAAGAGTGGCGAGGGTGAAAGCACACATGGGGAATGGGGAAAAGGGAAGCCCTTAGTGAGTCAGGTTCTCTGTAGGGTCTTTAGGAAAAGGCAGAGGTGGGTGTACTCCCAAACCAAGTGCACTGAATGCCCTCTGAAGCCCTAAGAGTCGAAGAGCAAGCAAGGGACATTAACTGATTCCTGAATGGGGCCAAGCAGAAAAGCAGTAAGACTGATGGGTCCTGCTATTCTGAGGCATCTTGTTGGCAACACTAATATTATTTGCAAAGAAAAGATTTACAGAGATCTTCTAAGAATTCTAACTACAATAGCACCCTGTGGTCACTTGCTACTCCTTAACTCGGGTCTCTATTTCTCCGTAGCATAAATTGCTCTCTGGTAGTCCACACGCTTTCTTCCTTGCCTGTGTCCTTAACTAGGTTGCAAGCACCACGAGGGTAGACTTAGCCTTTTGTTCACTCTTCCAGAGCTAGCTCAATCAATTTCTAAATGAATAACACAAGAGAAGGAGCTGGACCCTGGTGTGGGTCTCCAACCAACCTGGATCAGTCCTGGAGGTGACCCACTGACCCCCTTGACCACTCAGATTCCAATGTCTGGATGCAGTTCCAAGTCATTCGGCAGATAGATGTGCCCATTCAGGTGGTATTTATTCCACACCTCATGAGTACAATGTATTGAGCCAGGCAGCTTGGGGACAAAACAGACAATCCAGTCCCTGCCCCTACATCTGGGTAACAACCTGAGGCTACGAGGACGACAGGAGACACATTTACAGAATCAACGTGGGGAGGGGTGAGGATGGAGAGAAGTACCTGGATCCAGCGCCGCTCCTTCGACAGAGATGATACAGAACAGCTTGATCAGATCTCCCCGGACGACCGACGGTGTGTCCGAATGCACAGAGGCGTTGAATATAGGGCCTGGAGGGAAGGAATGCTGGCCTCGTTAATCTCATTCACACTTTGATCAAATGTCGTTCTTGGTGTTCTAGGGTTGCTTCTCTTCTTTTCAGAGAGGCACATGCATCAGACACTTCCGAATGAACTCCCTCCCGCCTAAGATGACGGCCAAGGAGCTCTTCCTAAAGGGTCACTATTTCCCCAGGCTTTCTTTGACCTCTTCTCTGATGACCGCCACAGTCTCGTCCGAAGGCTATCCCTTGCCCATCTCCCACCCTGGAATAGCCTGGGCCGTTTCTAGTTCTAACGGTCTATTCCTAGAGAAGGGTGGCTTTGGGGATCAGAGGAATAGGGACTGAACCAGGGATGCTTTTGGTCCCAATGGAGTGAGTGGTCTCATCAGGCTGTGCTGGGTGCCAAGAACAGGGGTCTTGCTGGCAAGAGGCCAAAATCCAGTCAGGGGACAGGCGTGTCAACAATGACAATGTTTCTATGAGGTGTGGCAGGAGCACCCACGGCACGGCTCCAGTCTGCCAAGGGAAACGGAAGCAGCCTCGACATTCCTTCAAAATACTACGCAGGTGGAGTTGGCTCTGGGCATGTGGGGCAGGGAGTCGACGGAAGCTCTCCGTACTTTCTGCTCAATTTTGCTGGAAACCTAAAACCGCTCTAAAAAATAAAGGCTTATCAAAAAACCAAACAAAAACAAAATCCCTACCCAGTCTTGTATACCTCCCTGAGAACACTGTAGGCATAATTATTATTTTTAACCCATCCATCAATCCTTCTTAGGTGAGAGCATTTCATAGCTCTAGGCTTAGCTGATTCTAGGAGTTCAGTGTTAACTTTATCCTGACTCCTAAAATCTGGGGACAGATAAACCTGAAAGAAGTTTCCAGAACATAAATGCTACGGGATTCCCTTTGGGTCTCCTGCGAAAAAAAGATAGATGGCCCCGACTGCTGATTCTAAAACTCATTAGAAGAGTACAGCTAAGACTACTTTCCACTTCGTATTGCCAGAAAGGAAAAACTACTCCAAAGCACTTTTTATAAACTTACAGAAGACGTGACCATAACAGAGAGCAAAATGATGAAAAGGGTTGTATTTTCATTTCAACACGACAACTAATAAGATGAATTCATCAGATTGTTTTCTTAACCAACTCTATGAATAATGTGTGTTTTCCTGGGAGAAAGGGGAAGGTTGGTTGTAGAATATTGAATCCTAGGAGGGGTTAGGCAGCCCTGGGTGGGAACTGCTGAGGGCTCTGGTTAGCCAGGGAACGTCTCTAGGGGGGATAAATAACAGAATGGCAGTTCCAGGAAATGGGAAAAGAGACACAAGCAAAGACAGCAAGGCAACTTGACCTATTTCTGGACGCCTCTCCTTCTATTAATGCAGGTCTCAGCCCCGGCTGCCTCGGTCCTCGCACCCTGTGGCCATGAAGCGGGCCAGGATTAGACCAACTGCTCTGAGGTGGCTCTGTGGTGATGACTGGGGGTGCTCATGCCACGTATGGCCATCTGTGATGAGTATAGGTGAGCAGCAACCACGGCAAGCAACAGGAGCACATTTTTTTTCTTGGACTGGAAATTGCAAGGTAATCAACAGAATTGGAGAGAGGGGCTTTCTTGTGTTCCAGTCACTTCTCAAAGAACAAAAAAATGACCAGACATTAATAAATCCTCATAACGGGCCATTGCTTTGCTAAGCATTGGACTGGCCACATGATTCTTTGAGCTATGGCAGGCCATGTTTCCTAGCTTTGGTTCCCTCCCCTACCTCCTCTCTCTCTCTCTCTCTCTCTCTCTCTCTCTCTCCAATTTACTTTCTAAATAAACTATATTTTCCAATCTAAAAAAAAAAATCCTCATCATAGATTTAAATGTTTCTATGTAATGGGAAGCAGCAAAGAAAGACTTAATTTGGGCAAATTTCATTTTTTTCTTTACATTTCCAAAGAAAACCCAGAATGCCTTCTAGGTCACAAGTCACAGTTCTCTTTTCCCCTACTGGCCGTGGTTGTGGGAATCAACAGAGCGTTTGTGCCACGGCTCACAACGCAGACAGGACTGGGGAAAAGGCCTGTATTGTGGTGAGCCATTCACAGTAGTGAATTTCCTTCTAGTGAAATCAACAGCTCGCTGTTAACATGGATCATTAGCTCAGGCTTAGAAATATTTTCATTATGGTCAATTTCTGTGGCAATGCTGTTTTTGTGAGGGGATGTGTCTGGTTAACTTCACAGCTGACAGACTCTGGTGCTGAGTCTTTAAGTGGACAGCAGGAGTCACTAAGGGTCCCCTAATTCCTAGTCTGCAGAGAGTATAGGAGCAACTAGTTTTTAAATACAAACATTTGACATAAACCATGTTCTAACCTCAGCCTCTAAAAAAAGGCTGTGAATGGCAGTATTTTTTTTGAAAGCAAAAATTGCAGACTATCTGCATGTCTGATTAAGCACTCTAGTATGTAAAGCCACTCAAGTTGGTATTTATCCTAGAATTTGTTATAATATGGAAAGTGCTGATCTTATAACATCAAAGGGGGGAAAAATCAGGTAGCAAAATTATATATGCAGCCTGATCTCCAAGTCACGGAGAAAACATACAAGGGAAAAATTCTAGGAAGATGAACACTATAAGGCCAGGTACAGTGGCTCATGCCTGTAACCCCAGCACTTTGGGAGGCAGAGGTAAGAAGACTGCCTGAGTCCAGGGGTTCAAGACCAGCCTGGGCAAATTGGTGAGACCTCATCCCTACAATAAATCAAAAATTAGCTGGGTGTGGTGGTGCACACTTGTAGTTCCAGGTACTTGAAAGGCTGAGGCGGAAGGATCACCTGAGTCTACAGGTTGAGACTGTGATGGCCAAGAGCGTGCTGCTATACTCTAGTCTGGGCCAGAGTAAGATTCCGACTAAAAAAAAAATTTTTTTTTCTCTGTTAAGGAGAAAATGTTTTATTATTATTCTTTTAAAAGGCAAAAAGTTACATCATCACATTTAAATCCCGTTTTCCCCCTTGACACTCTGTATCAGTAAAAGTATGTCATGACTCATAGGGTCCTTTGGCCCTCAACACCAAGAGGCAATTGCCCTGAAATCGGGGAACAGAAAGGTGAACGCCAGAAGGACATCTTTGCTGTGTCTTAAGGTATGCCTCTGATTTTTAGGAAGTGAAGCATCTTCAGTTTCAAATCAATGTTTGCTGGGGGCTAATCAAGGATATTCAGCACCATGCTGGCTGCTGAATTTGATGGCAGCTTCTCCTAATTAAAATATGAACTAGCCATGACAACTCTGTAGATTAAACAAAAGAAAAACCTAAGGCAATCTATTCAACCCGGAAGCTACAGTAATTTTACCTGTTATGCTGAGATTTAAAGAAATGAGAAATAGATTCAACACGCATTCCTCTCCCAGAAATAGATACAAAAGATTTTATGTCTCCCCTCTTCCACATAACAGTTTAAAAGAAAGATCAAATAACAAATGTAAAACACAATGTTATAGACTCCTACAGACAGCAAAACAGATACACAAATAAAGGATAAAAACCACATAATCATCTCATCTCAGCAGACACAGAAAAAGCATTTGACAACACTCGGCACCTTTCCATGATAAAAATACTCAACAAACTGCGAATGGAAGGAAACAAAGTAGGAGTGGAAGGAAATTTCTTCAACCTAATAAAGGACATCTATGAAAAACCCACAACTAACAAGGCACTCAATGAGCAAGACTGAACGCTTTCCCCCTGAGATCAAGAACAAGACAAAGATGTTCACTTGTGCTACTTCTATTCAACTTTGTATTAGAGGGTCCAGTCAGGGTAAGTAGGCAAGAGAAGAAGCAAAAGATATTCAGTTTAGAAAAGTACAACTATCCCTGTTTGCAGATGACATAATCTTATATTTTAAGAATCGTAAAGAATCTCCCAAATACTACTATAACTAATAAACAAGTCAAGCAAAGATAGAGGAACAAGATCAGTATACAAAAACCAATTGTGCTTCTATATAACGGCGAAGAACAAACTGAAAAGTAAATTAAAGTAATTCTATTCACAATAGCGTCAAAAAGAATACTCAGGATAAATTTAGCAAATGTTTAAGATTTGTATTGTACAGTGAAAACTGCAAAGCACCATGGAAAGAAATCAAAGATCTAAATAAATGGAAAGGCATCCCATGTTTATTACTTGAAAAGCAATATTATTAAATGGTGGTACTTCCCAAATTGACCTACAGATTCAATCCCTATCAAAGTTCCAGCTGTCGTTTTTACAGAAATTAATAGGCTGATCCTAAAAGTCACATGATAATGTAAGGGGTCCAACATAGCCAAAACAATCTTGAAAAGGAAAAAAGTTGGAAGTCTCAAACTACTTGACTTTAAAATTAACTACAAGTTATCAAGATACTGGTGTAAGGACAGAAATACAGAACACTGGAATAGAACTGAAAGTCTAGAAACAAAACCTTACATTTGTAAGGATGAATGATTTTTGACAAGGGTGTCAAGACAAGTCAATGGGGAAAAAACAAACTTTTCAGCAAATGGTGGATATCCCATAAAGAATAAAGTTGGAGTCCCTCCTCTTCCACATACAAAAATGAACTCAAATGGGTCAAAGGCCTACATGTAAGAGCTAAAACTCTAATGCTCTTAGAAGAAAACATAGGTATAAATCTTCATAATCTTAGATTAGGCAATGATTTCTTAGACATGACACCAAAAATACAAGCAACAAAAGGAAAAAAACAGATAAGTTGGACTTTATCAACATTCAAAAATTTGATGCTTTAAGAGACACCATTAAGAAAGTGAAAAGACAACCCACATAACGGGAGAAGATATTTTTAAACAATAATGTTTATGGCAGCACTATTTATAAGAGTCAAAAAAGTAGAAATAATCTAAATGACCATCAACAGATGAACAAATGAACAAATGTGGTATACCCATCCAATGGAATATTATTCAGCCATAAAAAGGAATGAAGTACTGATACATGCTTAGCATGAATGGACCTGGAAACAGATGCTAAGAGAAAAAAACCAGCCATAGAAGTCCAGATTATATGATTCATTTCATATGAAATATCCAGAAGAGGCAAATCTATAGAAATAGAAAGTAAATTGGTGGTTACCAGGGGCAGGGACATAGGGGGATGGGAATGACAACTAACGGAAGCGGGCTTTCTTTTGGGGGTGATTAAAGTGTTCTGGAATCGGATAGTGGTGATGGTCGCACAACTCGGTGAATATATTAAAAATCAAAGACTGTAAATTTTATGTGTGTGAGTGCTATGGTATAAAATTATATCTCAATAAAGCTGTTATTAAAAACAAACAGATACACAATCAAGGAGGTCCATATTTTCTCTGCTCTTTCCAAACCTAAGGGCATAAATCAATATTTACCCTTATTAACTTAAAGGTTAAGAGATGCTAGAAGATTAGTTCACTATATACCATAAAAGGTCATAGTAAAACAAGATAATATTAATAAAAAACAAGCTTTATTAGAGTATACCTTACCTTTAATGTAGATGTTAATAATTCGATTCAATAAATATCTTGACTAAATTATACCAAGCCAATGGATACCTGAATTTTTACAGATGAGTATTAATTTATACATTCAGAAATTTCTAACTAATCCAGGGCAGAGTTAGTGAAAACATTCAGTTTCAAATCACAAATGGTAACTCATCACACTGGTATTCTAAATAAGATTGGGGTTTAAAACGTTTAAATCATCGTCCTGCTAAAACATGCACACACACAGAGGATTTCTGTGAATTACACAGATGAGTAAAAAACATTTCTCTTTGAGAATATCTCTGCCATTTAAAAAAGTGGACATTTCTGCCTTACAGCATTAAAACACGCTACTTTGCCGGGTTTGGTGGCTCAGCCTGTAATCCCCGCACTTTGGGAGGCCGAGGTGAGTGGATTGCCTGAGCCTGCGGGTTCGAGACCCGCCTAGGCAACTTGGTGAGACTTCATCTCTACAATAAATCCCAAAAAAAATCAGCCGGGCGTGGTAGCGTGCGCCTGTAGTTCCAGCTACTCGGAAGGCTGAGGCGGAAGGATCGCCGGAGCCCGGCAGGTCGAGGCTGCGGGGGCCGGGAGCGGCCACTGCACTCCGGTCTGGGCGACAGAGTGAGACTCCAACTCAAAAAAAAAACAAAACAAAAAAACCACGCTACTTACCAAAGATAAAACCGTTTTGGCACAGACGCTCAAATGATCTTGTTTTAATCAACCTTCTCACAGATAACACCGTTAGTAACTATTTTTAACAAATCAGGTTGACTGACATCGTCATTCGTGCCACAGCAGCTCTGGTAACTCAACTAATTTATAGGAAATCCTTTTCCGATCCAAGAGTGAAGTGAGTAATAAGACTGGGCTACTCTCCCCTGGATGGATACACTGCTCTAGTAGCTGGCCCAAGAACAGTCATCACCACCCTCAGCCTAGAAGTCCCTAAGCATGGAAAGTCAAGCCTTGGGAGGACTGGAGTCTTAGCTCTGAATGGTCCATGTTGGGCAAGCCACTTAGCCCGGGAAGGCTCAGTTCTCTCCTTGCTTTTTTTCTTTGAGTCGGAGTCTCACTCCGTCACCCAGACTGGAAGGCATTGGCGCTCCCGGCCCCCTCAGCCTTGACCCGCTGGGCTCCGGCGGTCCTTCCGCCTCAGCCTTCCAAGGAGCTGGAACTATAGGCGCGCGCTACCACGCCCGGCTGATTTTTGATTTACTGTAGAGATGAGGTCTCGCCAAGTTGCTCAGGCGGGTCTCGAACCCGCGGGCTCCGGCCATCCACTCACCTCCGCCACCCAAAGCGCGGGATGACAGGCTGAGCCACTGAGCCCGGCTCTCCTCGCTTTATTACTCAACTATGTTTCCTCAAAGATCTGAAGTAGCTAAGTTTCTTTCAACTTTTTAAATTTAAATTGAACATTTTTTTGAGACAGAGTCTTACTCTGTCACCCAGGCTAAAGTACAGTGGCACAATCATGGCTCACTATAGCCTCAACCTCCTGGGCTCAAGCGATTCTTCCAAGCTGGAACTACAGGTGAGTGCCAGCACGCCTGGCTAATTTTTGTATTTTTTGTAGAGATGAGGTCCACTATATTGCCCAGGCTGCCACTAACCTCCTGGGCTCAAGTGATTTGCCAGCCTCAGCCTCCCAAAGTGCTGGAATTACAGGTGTGAGCCACCGTGCCCAGCTCATTTATTTTTTGTAGAAACGGGGTCTTGCACTGTTGTTCAGGCTGGTCTTGAGCTCCTGGCCTCAAGCAATCCTCCCGTCTTAGCCTCTCAAAGTGCTGGAATTATAGGCGTGAGTCACCGTGCCTGGCCTCCATTTACTTTTTTTTGAAACAAGGGCAGACATGAAAACATGCATTCACACAATGTTCATAGCAGCATTATTTATAATAATCAAGAACTGGAAACACCCAAATGTCCATCAACAGATGACTAGATAAAATGTGGCATAAAGTCCATACAAGGGAATATTACTCAGTCATAAAAATGAACAAAGTGCCGATACATGCTACAACATGGGTGACCCTTGAAAGCATCACGCTCCTTAGGAGAAGCCAGACGCAAAGTTCACATTTTACACTCCACGCATGTGAAATGTCCTCAACAGGCAAACCTAGAGACAGAAAGCAGACAGTGGCTGCTGAAGAATGGGTGATTGGTGGGCGTGGGCTAAGGCGTGCAGGGATTCTTGAGAATAACGAAAACGTTCTAAAATTGACTGGGGTGCTGATCACACAACTCTGCGACTACACGAAAAACCAGTGAATTATGCCAATGATATCTACTAAAGCTGTTTTAAAAAACGAGGGCATCTGATCACAGCTCTAGCGTGTCTCTAGCTCCGACTGTGATTCCACAGGAATCTCGGCTCACCTGAGGTTTGGAAGTCTATCTCAATGGGATTGGAGAGACTGGTTGCTGCTTCTCGCCAAAGGCTGCCCCTGACAGGAGACCATGCTGTCACCACGCAGCGGTACAGCCCTGCGTCTGAGACCTGAGTCTGGTACATTCGGTAGCGGAATTCATCCTCCTGCACTTTTTCGAGCACGACGCCATCCACCCGCGAAGCGTCCGTCCAGTTCTCCAGCTTCACCACAGAATCCTGGTCCAGGGAGATGATGTACTTGGTTTCGTTGGGGCTGGAGAGGTCTCCGACAGGCTTCTCGGCCGTGATGAGAACGGAATAGCGTGGCGACTTGATATTCTTGGAAGATACTTTGCAAGTCATCTCAAATGTATTTCCTGCGGCAAAGAAAGGCTTTGGCTGCCGCGCCTTCACCACGAGCACAGAATCTGGAATGGAGTACCAGAAGGAGGTGATTTCCAGCAGGTTCCACTAAAACAAATTTGCGACTCAAAGCAAAACGTCAAGGAAGTAGGAATTTATTTGCCAATTGCCACACAATAGCACTTAGGAAAATCTGGAAACCATGAAAGAAAACCATGTGTGTCTGTAAGTGGGCTGCACACACCACCCTGGAAGAACTAATCTGAAGTGATGGAATGAGTTGAGGGGAAAGGGAACTGACAGAATGGGCTTTTAAGGAATTTTTTTTTTGAGGAGGAGGAGTCTCACTCTGTTGCCCAGGCTGGAGTGCTGCAGCATGATCACGGCTCACTGCAGTCTCCACCTCCTAGGCTCAGACGATCCTTCTGCCTCAGTTTCCCAAGGAGCTCAAACTACAGGCACGCACTCCTACACCTGGCTAATTTTTTATTTTTATTTTCGTAGAGATAAAGTCGCGCTATGTTGCCCAGGCTGGTCTCACATTCCTGGGCTCAAGCAATACTCCCGCCTTGGCCTCCCAAAGGGTGGGGATTACAGGCATGAGCCACCACGCCCAGCCTGCTTTGGAGGATTTTTAAGTCCCTGAGAAGTTTCACCAAGAGAGAGAATCTGGGACACTGCTGGTGGCCCCTCAGGCTGTGAGGGAGAGCACGCTCTTCATGAGTTAGAAGAGGCAGCTGGACGTGACACCCAGGTCAGGCTCTCGGCCACAGCATCTGCCTCCCAACCCCTACCCCCAGGGTGTGCGGAGGGCAGGGGAAGTGCCCCTGGCTGAGCCAGCCTGTGCAGAGGAGAAGAGTGAAGGGGGTGAGCTCTCCCTGTTTAATTCCATGATGGGGAACGTTCCAGAACAGACTTCTCACTACAGTGACTGGAGCACATATAGTTGTAGGTCTAATCATTTCCTCCTGGTTTATACTTTAATTTTTCAGTAAGGCCGTCTGAACGTTTTGAGAAGCGTCTCTGGCTACGCCAGCTTCAGGTGAAGTGTGTGACTCCCTGTTTCTCTGTCAAAACAACGATGTCTAAGCATGTACACGTTAGAACTCACCTACTATCGTAGCACAGAGTCAGACACGTGGAAGCTACTTAAATATTTGCTGAATGGATGAAAAATTAATCAGACCCTCTTTTCCTCCTTTAACGAGATGATAAATCCCTATAATCTGTCCCGCTACAAGATGAACTTTTTTGGGAACACGTGTTCCACCAAACCCATTCGCAGAACATGTATGTTACACACACTCTCCAGAATCACTGATTTCTGAAGTTCCGCTGAGCCACCCCCCTATTTTTTTTTTTATTCTGAGTTGGGGCTCTCACTCTGTCACCCAGTCTGGAGTACAACGGCACGATCACAGCTCACCTCAGCCTCAACATCCTGGGATCAGGCAACCCTCCTGCCTCAGCCTCCTGAGTACGACTACAGGCTCACGCTACCACACTTGGCTAATTGTATTTTTTTGTAGAAACGAGGTCTCGCTATGTTGCCCAGTCTGGTCTTCAACTCCTGGGCTCAAGCAATCCTCCTACCTCAACCTCCCAAGTGCTGACATTACAGGTGTGAGTCACCAGGCCTGGCCCCACATTCTTTCTTGATTCTCCTATGAGTTTGGTCATTCATTCATTCATTCATTCAACATGTACGTATTGAAAGCCTTCCATATTCCAGGTATGGGAATACAATGGCAAACAAATACACACAAAACTCCCTCCCTTCATAGGCCAGTGGAGGAAGACAAACAAAATAAATAAGCTAAAAGTACAGTGTAGTTAGCTGGCAACACATGTGGAAGAGAAAATAAGTCAGGCCAGGAAGAGAAAAAGGGTGGGTTTGCCTATGGGGAGGCTGTATGTGTGTCATAATTTTAGATAGATTGACCAGGGACGTCCTCACTGAGAATGTAACATTTAAAAAAGCACCCGGGCCAGGTACAGTGGCTCCTATCTACAATCCTAGCACTTTGAGAGGCCAAGGCGGGAAGACTGCTGGAGCCCAGGAGTTCAAGACCCGCCTGGGCAAAATAGTGAGACCTCACGTCTACAAAAAATAAAAAAAGTTAGCCAGGCATGGTGGCTTGCCTGTAGCCCTAGCTGTTCAGGGACTGAGGCAGAAGAAGGGCCTGAATCCAGGAGGCTGAGGTTGCTGTGAGCCATGATCATCATGAGTACCACTGCCCTCCCGCTTGAGCGACAGAGTGAGACTCCGATTCAAAAAAAAAAAAAAAAAACAACTTAAAAAAAAATAGTAAGAGAGTCAGGTGCAGTGGATTATGACTGTAAACCCAGCATTTTGCAGAGGCAGAGAGAAGAGAATTGCCTGAGCCCATGGGTTTGGGAATAGCCTGGGCAACTTGGCAGAACCTCTATAATCAAAGAAAAAAATTAGCCGGGCGTGGTGGCACGGCTTGTGGTTCCAGCTACTTGGAAGGCTAAGGGGGAAGGATTCCCTGAGCCCAGCAGGTCGAGGCTGCGGTGGCTGTGAGCATGCCACAGCACCCCAGCCTGGGCGACAGATTGAGACTCCTACTCAAAAAATAAATAAATAAGATAAAAATTTAAAAAGAACCTGAATGAGGTGCTACAGCAAGTGCCATCCATCTTGGGAAAAGCATTATTCTTTTTTTTTTTTTGAGTTGGAGTCTTACTCTGTCGTCCAGACTGGAGTGCAGTGGCCGTTCCTGGCCACCACAGCCTAGACCTGCCGGGCTCCGGCGATCCTTCTGCCTCAGCCTTCCGAGTAGCTGGAACTACAGGCATGCGCTACCATGCCTGGCTGACTTTTGATTTATTGTAGAGAAGAGGTCTCATCAAGTTACCCAGGCGGGTCTCAAACCCGCAGGCTCAGACAATCCACTCACCTCAGCCTCCCAAAGCGTGGGATTACAGGCTGAGCCACCGAGCCCGGCTGGAAAAAACATTACTCTAAGTGAGGGAACAGCAGGTGGAAAGGGACAAGGCAGGTACACGCCTGGGACGTCTTAGCAGCATGGAAGGGCAGAATGAAAGGGCGCGTGGAGTGGGTGTGGGGAAGGGTGGCAGAAGATAACAGGAACAGGACACTGAAGGCCATGGGAGGACTCTGGGTTTTGCTCTGAGTGAGATGGGGAGGCTTCAAAGGCTTACAGCAGAGGAGCTTTGTGACCTGACTGACATTTGAACAGGATGGTGACAGCTGCTGTGTGCGAGGGCAGAGTGAGGACACCTGGGAAGAGGCTGGGGCTGTGATCCAGGCTAGAGTGAGGGCAGCGCAGCCACGGTGGAGTGTGAGGAGGGGTTCCGTTCTACATCAGTTGTAAGAAGGAGGGGTTGAGGAGGGTGTTGCTCTGAGCATTCGAACCACCATGCAGGGCTAGGTCGGGAGGAGAGAGCTGGCAGGGAAGACAGGAAGCCCCCTTCTGAACACAGGTTTGAGATGCCTGTGCGACAAGGAGAAGTGTCAAGAAAGCAACATCATACTGAGTCTGGAATTCTGGAAAGAGGTTCAGGAGTCACTGGGGCATAGATCGTAATTAAATTTGGGCAGATGCAGCCGTCCGTGCCAGTAGTTTGGAGGCCGAGGCGAGAGGATTGCTTGAGTCCAGGAGTTTGAGACCAGCTTAGGCAACCTAGTGAGACCTCGGCTCTACAAAAAATACAAATAAAAACATTAGCCAGGCCTGGTGGTGGGTGCCCGTAGTCCCACCGGGAGATTGAGGTGGGAGGATTGCCTAAGCCCAGGAGGTTGGGGTTGTGGTGAGCCATGATTGTGCCACCGTGCTTTAGCCTGGGTGACAGAGTGAGACTCTAATTCAAATTGATTGATTGATTGATTGATTAATGAGATCAGAAGGCATCACCAAGGGAGTTAGATTACATAGAAATGAAGTTCAAGGTGTGTCCTGAGGTAGTCTTGTGTTTGAGGATCGGGAAACGGAACGAGAACCAGCAAAGGAGGCTGAGAAGCGGCAGCTCATGAGGTTGGAAGAAAGCCCTGGGAAGGCGGGATCCCACAAGCCAAGGGGGAAATGACAGCACTTCCAAGGAGGAGGAAACGATCACCTGCGTTAAATCTTGCTAAGTCAGACGGCTTGGTGGCTCAGCCTGTCATCCCAGCGCTTTGGGAGGCTGAGGTGAGTGGATTGCCTGAGCCCGTGAGTTGGAGACCCACCCGGGCAACTTGGCGAGACCTCATCTCTACAATTAATCAAAAAAATTAGCCAGGCGTGGTAGCACGCACCTGTAGTTCCAGCTACTTGGAAGGCTGTCGCGGAAGGATCACCGGAGCCCAGCTGGTCGAGGCTGCGGTGGCCGAGAGCGGCCACTGCACTCCAGTCTGGGTGACAGACTGAGACTCCAACTCAAAAAACAACAGCAACAACAACAAAGTCTCTCCAGTAAAAGGTACCGCAGGCTGGGCTCGGTGGCTCAGCCTGTAATCCCACGCTTTGGGAGGCCAAGGTGAGTGGATTGCCTGAGCCCGCAGGTTCGAGACCCGCCTGGGCAACTTGGTGAGACCTCATCTCTACAATAAATCAAAAAATTAGCTGGGCATGGTAGTGCGCGCCTGTAGTTCCAGCCACCTGGAAGGCTGAGGTGGAAGAATCACTGGAGCCCAGAAGGTAGAGGCTGCGGTGGCCGGGAACGTGCCACTGCACTCCAGTCTGGGTGACAGAGTGAGACTGTGACTCAAAAAAAAAAAAAACTTGCTAAGTCAAATAAGATAACTGACAACAGGACTCTGCAACACGTTGATCACTGGTCATCTCAACAGAAGCAGCAGGGGGAAAAGTCTGATGAGAGCAAACACTAGAGAGACACTGAGTGTAGACAAATCCAATCTTTCTGCTATAAAAGCAAAGAGAGAGGGTAATATAGGTGGACAAGTGGGTGTGGGAAACAATGATGAAGAAGGAAGCAGGATCAAGATCAGTTTAGCTTAAAGAGAGAGAGAGAGAGCTCCAACAATCAATGGGAACAGTCCAGAAGAGACAGAAACACATAAGACATGAGAGGGAGGAGCCATGTGCCTGAATCGTGAGAGGAGCTGGCCTCACTGGGACACACACCAGGTAGCATGGGCTCGGCACTGGGGTAAGATAAATGGGAATTCTCTCAACTGTCTACTTTTTTTAGGGAAATAGGAAGCTGGACCAGCAGCGAGGGAGGAGACACTTGCAGAGAGAGAAGGCGGCATGCAGTAATCACTTGGGAGAGTGGGGAAGTCAACAGATTAAGTAAACACAGAATGATTCTCAGGCAGGGCTGAGAGTCCACTTGACTCAAATGATCGTAGTTTTAAGTGCAACCAGTCAACACATTTGAATGTTTCTCTCCTACCACATTTAAGTCTACACACACAGGTGGGGAGGTGGCAGACAGCCGGCTTTGAACTAGTCTGTGGTTTAGTCAGAGAATAACACAGATCAAGAGAGGGCAAGGGAATGGGGAAGACCGACTGGGAATTTAGGCGAGGTAATAAGGTGACCGGCCACAAAACTTATCCCTACCTCTCACCCTTGGACATGTCTAAGGACGAGAGAGGATGCTATAATTAGGACAACAGGCGTAAACTGGACTGCCCTGAGCAGATGGACTCCCCAGGTAAGAGAGAAGTGAAGACACAGTGGAAGGGAAGGGCCATGTGGGGTGGTAGGATTAATAAGCTGTACGCCCCGGCTGGGTGCAGTGGCTCACACCTGGAATCCCAGCACTTTGGGAGGCCAAAGTGGGAGGACTGCTTGAGGCCACGAGTTTGAGACCAGCCTGGACAACACAGTGAGACCCCAGCTCTATAAGAAATCGAAAAATTAGTCCACAACCGAAGTCCCAGCTACTTGGGGGGATGCCCAGGAGGTCGGGGTGCAGTGAGCTGTGATTGTGCCTCTGCACTCCAGCCTGAGTGACAGAGGGAGACCCCAACTCAAAAAAAAAAAAAAAGATTGTTGGTCCCAGTAGGGCTGGAGGGTTGTTGTAGGAATACTAGGAGGCGTGATCTAGAAAGACAGAAGGTATGTTTAGAGCACAGGATGCTTGAAATGGAGACCATGCAGGGGTCTCAGTTATCGGAAGGGAAATGATCTAACACAGGGCAGAGGCATGGGCCTGAAGAGCCAAAACAGGATAGGCGACATGATCACTAGAGAGGACAAGGGACTGAGAATGGCAGGATCATCTATATTAGCTTTTTCCACCTTGGTTGCACATGGGACTCACTGTGGGGGTGTTTAAAAATGCCGGTGCCCAGACTGCACAGACTTCGGACCAACCAAAATAGATATTCTGGTAGAACCCAAGCACTGGTATTTTCTGTTATATAGAGACAGTTTCTCGCTGTGTTGCCCAGGTTGTTCTTGGCCTCCTGGTCTCAAGCAATCCAACGACCTTGGCCTCCCAAAGTGCTGGGATTATGGGCGTGAGCAACTATGCCCGGTCAGTATTTAATTATTCTTTATTTTTTAAATTTTTTTTTTTTTACCTGCTGGGCTCCGGCGATCCTCCCGCCTCAGCCTCCCGCCTCAGCCTTCCGAGTAGCCGGAATTACAGGCGCGTGCTACCACGCTCGGCTAATTTTTTGATTTATTGTAGAGATGAGGTCTTGCTGCCCAGGCGGGTCTCGAACCCACGGGCTCAGGCAATCCACTCACCTCAGCCTCCCAAAGGCGTGGGATTACAGCCTGAGCCACTGAGCCCGGCTAGTATTTATTTCTTTAAAGCTCCTAGGGTGATTCCAGTTATAACCCAGTCTCTACATGGATATTGAAGTTAGCAAGACAGGAGCAGTATCAGAGAGTAGTCGTGAAACAAAAGCCAACATTCGAAGGCTAAATGGAGGACCCAGGAATCAACAGGTGACAGTAAGGAGAGGAGGTGGCATGGTATGAGGACATGAGATTTAAAGCCGGAGATTTTCAGGAGAGAGGAGAAACGATCTGGAAGCTTCAGTGAGGAACCAGGAAGGCCCCAGCCCCACCTCTAGGCCCAGTCACATGAGGAGGGCTCCAGGGGAAACTTTGCTCAGAGAGGTAGTGTTTAATGCAAGAAAGGGAAAAGGAACATTCCGAGAGAAAGTTCAGGAAACAGGAGATTTTGCCCAAGGTGGTGAGTACGAGAGAGCCCTCTTTGGGGTTTGGGAATAGAGGGGGGATGGCAGTGAGTCCAAAGGGGTGTAGAGCAGGGGTCCCCGGCCCCGGGCCACGGACCGGTACTGGTCCATGGCCTGTCAGGAACCAGGTCGCACAGCAGGAGGTGAGCACCGGGTGAGCGGAGCTCTACATTTTGTTAGATCAACGGTGGCATTAGACTCTCTAAGACTGCGAATCCTATTGCGAACGGTGCACGTGAGGGATCCAGGTTGCGTGCTCCTTGTGAAAATCCAGTGCCTGATGATCCCTTGCCCCCCAACTGGGGAAAAATCGTCTTCCAAGAAACCGGTCCCTGATGCCAAAAAGATTGGAGACCACTCGTGGAGAGGGTCATATGATGACTTGTGTCCAAGGCACGAAGCCTCGTGTACATGGTGACCTACAGGGTTAACTGTGCATCCAGAAACAAACGGTGGGGTGACTGAAGCCAAAGCCAAACAAACACGGACAATGAACACGAATAAAGCGCCTACCTTCCGATGCCCAAAAGATGTTGACGGGCTTGGAGAAGACATCCTTGCTCTTCACCCAGCTGCTATTCCGCTGCCTGGTCCAGGCTGACACGGCACAGTAATAACTGCCTCTGTCTTCGTCTGTGGTTCTTTGGATCCGGAAACTGAACGTGTCTGTGTGCTCCTTAGAAAAAATAAACTCTCCGTCCTGGGCCCGCTGCTCGCTCCGCTCTCCATACTTCAGCGTCCAGTCCCCATCCATGACTGCAAGAAGCTCGCTGGCCACCACGTCGTCACTACGCCGGTTCATCCTGTAGTACCATGAAACCGTAAAGCGGACACTGGCCTCGGCGCCCTTCGTGTTCACTACTCGGCATTCCAGCTCCGTGGGATCATCCGCAAACCCCGGGACCTTGGAAGCATTCAGGTACACCTGGTACTCTGGTTCTGAACGAGAGAGGGAGAGAAAGGCCAGGAAAAAAGATCATGAGAGCAACATACCGAGAACTAGCAAGAGGAACAAGTACTGCTCTGGTGCTGATCACCGACTGCCTCTTCTACCAGACTGCAGAGAGAGAAACTAGTCTTGTTAGAAGGGCTCCTGGAAGAGTGTTTTTGTAAAACTTGTAAAACACCGCTTCTCATACCCACCACCCCCTGCTCAAGAAAACCTCCCAAGATCAGAAGCCAAATGCCCTTGGCCAGAGTTCAGATCTTTCCATAGGGTTGGGGTCTACTGTCAGTGTCCCCAAGAGGTTAAAGTCTTCTGAGAAGGATCTCTTAAGAAGTGCAGTTGGCCAGGCATGGTGGCTCATACCTGTAACCCCAGACCTCTGAGAGGCCAAGGCAAGAAGATTGTTTGACCCTAGGAGTTTGAGACCAATGTGGGCAACATAGCGTGATCTTGTCTCTACAAAATATTTAAAAATTTGCCAGGAAGGGTGGCAGGTGCTTGTAGTCCCAATAACTCAGAAGGCTGAGGCTATAGTGAGCTGTGATTGTGCCACTGCACCCCAGCCTAGGTGATAGAGTGAAACCCTAACTTGATTAAAAAAAAAAAGAAGTGCAATGTCCACACTCTACCAAATGACTCTGGGATGCTAAGCAAGCCCAGAGACCTCCAAAGACCCCACTGGAGCACCCCACCCCAGAGCATATCCTAGAACTCAAGGCCCATCAATTCTCCCGTGGTGCAGGCTGTCATACTTGGCCCTCAGATCATCATTCCCCTACACATTCTTCTCTTCACTTCACTGTTCCTCTAGCTTCTTCCACTGAATCTGTGTTCAGCGGTCCACAAACGCCTCCCCCTCCATCCTTCAAGGACTCCCCAAAGGACATTCTTGTCACTGCTGCATGTAACTCACCTGTCTCTCTATGAACCTGACCCTAGTAAAGCCCGCTAACTTGTGAGCACCCCACTTCCCCACCCAGTCCCAACTCTGACAGGGGTGGGAGGAAAGCTAGCACTCACCCAGGATCCCCCCCTCACGGCCACAATCCTGTGATTTTTCACTTGTATATATTTTAAAAACCCTCCTTCTTCGGAGGGTCCCTGCACTGATGTGATCCATTTCTGTCCTCACTGACCCCAAGGCTTCCTCCACACCTGCTGAGGAACTAGTGTTCTTTGTGTCTCTCCCAACCCTCTCCATGTGACCCCTAATTACCTGAGGTCCTCCAGTCTCCACACAGTCTCACACCACTGTGGTGACCTGTGTGGGGTGCCCTGCAAACTTACCCTTGTTCTTTAATGTCAACTGGTCCTGACTCCCCAGAAGGGACACTTGTTCTCTGTACTTCCATAAGCCATCTATGTACTCTTGTATGTCAGTGGTGCCACTCCATGAATACTTTTCTCTTGAGAGCTCAACCCCAAGCTCCATTGACACTCACTGCCTTGTATGCAGTAGGCACTCAATAACTGTTTCCTGCTTAATGCTCAGGCTTTTAGGAAAAGGCTAGATTTTTCTTCCGTAGCACTTTGCTTCCTAGGAGAAAAATAATTCTACCTCAACAGAACTTTCCATTTTATCAACACTGACTTTGTCTACATCACCTCGATCAAGAAGTTTAGTTTTATTTAACGATGCTTTTATTTATGACTCATACAGATTATAAACTGCTGAGGTCGAGGAACTGTTCTTTTACGATTTACACTTCTAGTGGAATTTACAACATCATGACTTCTCCAGGAATGACTCAGTGGGCCAGAAAATGGAGAGAATTCAAAATCCTGACTATCAAACGTCACTTCCACTAGCATTTAATTGCTTGTGCCTGTTCACGGTAGCACGTCTTGCTGTGATGTGAGGGTGCTGGGAGAAACACCCTGGGCTGCAGCACCGCTCAAGCTGCAGCTACCCCGGGCCCCCATTTCACAGGCGAGTGGGCCAAGGACGCCTAGCTTGGGGGTGTCCTGTCCCCAGGCTCAGTGTGAACACCCCACACGCCACCCCGCAACAACTGACTGAGGGACACACACCATCAAAATGCCTAAGGCAGGGAATGCTCAGATTACCCCGCCTCTGAGACGTCACACCCTTTTCTCATGTCAAATGTGGGATGCAGCCTCAAAGGCAACGTGGGTGCAAGCCAGGATGACTAAGTTCCTCTGATGTGGAATGGACAGATTTGAACTGGCTATGCCCACCGCAAGATGGCCCTGGGACATGGGACCCCACCCTGCAGCAGCGGCTGGGACCTCTGAGGTCTCGACCCCATTTCAGGCTCAATGCGTTTAAGACCCCTCCTGTGTGTCACCAAGTCACCTTGCGGCGCCAGCTGTGAGGCAGTACACAGCAGTGGTGAGGAGCACGGGCCCAGAGCCAGGCTGCTCAAATCCTGGTTCTGCCATTTACTTGTTGTGCAACCTTGCATCGATTACTCAGATCTCTGGTGGCTCACACTAGTGATCTCAGCGCGTTGGGAGGCCTAGGTGAGGGGATTGCTTGAGCCCAAGAGGTCAAGATCAGCCTGGGAAACATGGTGAAACCCCATCCCTGCAAAAAAAAAAAAAAGGAGCCCAACATGGTGACACATGCCTGTAGTTCCAGCTACTTGAGAAGCCGAGGCTCAAGGGATCCTCCCTTGAGCCCAATGTTTGAGGTTACAGTCAGCTAGGATCATGGCAGTGCACTCCAGTCTGGGCAAGAGAGTGAGACTCAAAAAACAAAAAAACCTCAAAAAACAAACAAAAAAAGAAACAACAGTAACTACTTCATGATGTTATTGTGAGGACTAAGAGTTAAAATATACTCGACTTAACAAGAGCTTAGACTAGCGTATGGTATGGGAGTTGTGTATGTATATTTATGTATATTTTTACACATACACATGTATATGTACATACATATACATACATACATACATACTTACAAGAGGAACCAAAAAAACCCAGAATTTATTTATAAAAAATTGTATATGTATTCTTACATGTTTAAACCTCAGTCACCTTCAAAGTACTCTCCATTTGATGCAATACACCTAGCAAGATGCTCTTCCTGCTGCTAGAAAGTTTGTGAATTCCAGTTTTTGAATTAATCAATTTTGATGCCTTTTAGTACTTCTGTTGTTTTTGTTTCACCTCTCCCACACTGACAAAACATTTCCCTTTGAGGATTTTTTTCCTTTGAGGAAACAAAAAAAGTCGCTCGAGGCAAGAAAGACTGGGGGAAAAGGGGGCAGGGGACAAGGGGTGTGCCGTTTTGGTCAGCAACTGCTAAACACTCAGCGCAGGGTAGGGCAGGTGCGTTGTCATGGTGGAAGAACCAGTCACCTGTTTGCCACAACTTGGGACGTCTCTTCCACAAATTGCGATGCCACTTTCTCAAAACTTCCAGATAAAAACATTGGGCTGGGTGCAGTGGCTCACACCTGTAATCCCAGGACTTCAAGTCTAGGCTGGGCAACATAGTGAGACCTCGTCTGTGCAATAAATTTTAAAAATTAGCCAGATGTGGTGGCTTAAACCTATAGCTCCAACTACCTGGAAGGCTGAGGTGGAAGGATCTCCCGAGCCCAGAAGGTCGAGGCTACAGTAGCCATGACTGTGTTACTACATTCCAGCCTGGACGACAGAGTGAGATTCTGACTCAATAGAGGAACAAATTCTGAGCATGCTACAAAGGGCCTGCCCACCAAAAGATAATTCTGGACTTTTGGGGGCTCCCCCTTATATGTATTTGTGAATTGCTGTTCATAGTTCCTATTCCACGTCTTTCCTCTTTTATTTTTAAGATAGAATCTCATGCTGTGCAGTGACATGACTATAGCTCATTGTAACCTTGAATTTCTGGGCTCAAGGGATCCTTCCACCCAAGCCTCCCAAGTAGCCGGGACTATAGTTGCATGCCACCATGTCCAGCTAATTCTTTTTTGTTTGTTTGTTTGTTGAGTCAGAGTCTCACCTTGTTGCCCAGGTTGAAGTGCAGTTGGCAAACTCACCGCAACCGCAGCCTCAACCTGCTGGACTCGGGTGATCCTTTCGCCTCAGCCTTCCAAGAAGTTGGGACTACAGGTGTGCGCCACCATACCTGGCTAATTATTTATTCACTTAATTGATTGTAAAGATGGGGACATGCCAAGTTGCCCAGGCTGGTCTTCAACCCCCTCAGCTCAGGCAATCCTCTCTCCTCTTCCTCTCAAAGTGCTGAGATTACAGGCATGAGTCACCATGACCAGTAAAATTTTTAAAGTTTTTTTGTAGAGATGGAATCTTGCCATGTTTCCCAGTAATCCTACCTCCTTGGCCTCCCAAAGTGCTGGGATTACAGGAATGAGTCACTGCACCCGATCCATGGTTCCCGTTTCTGAAGAGACAGGGCTTGAAAGAGGTTAATAACTTGCTCACACAGCTCAAAAGGGTTGTACACTTTCTATCACTGCTCAAGTACATCCTCAACTCCCAGATGAACCAAACTTCCTGTCTTCTAAACTTTGTCTTTTCTAAGTTCCAGTGGCCGACCCTGATTTCCAGGAGCACTGAATGCCATGTTGGCAATGATCCTGCTAAGTATCTGCTCCAGAAGACAGCTCCCTACAGGTTGACACCTCAGTCTGACTGGCCGGTGCAATCCAAAACACTGTGCAGCTGCCTGGGGGAACTTCTGTCTCCTAACAGATGACAGACCCTTCCACCCTTCAGGGCTTACTTCCACCCTGGAGCGTATTCTTTCAAAATGGCACCTGTTCCGAGGCAGTTAAAATGATGATGAAGAGAGATAGGTGTTCACTGCAGCATTATTCACAATGGCCAAGATATGAAATCAACCTAAGCGTCCATCAACAGTTTAATGAATAAAGAAAACGAAGTACATATACACAACGGAGTATTATTCGGCCTTTAAATAGAAAGAAATCCTGTCACTTGCAAACCATAGATGAACCCGAAGGACACTGTTAAATGAAATAACCAGACAAGAAACACAAACACCACATGCCCTCAC